TCTGGTCTTGCACTTTTTTCTGTTCTACAAATGCGTCAGTGAATTTAAGATGATTCAATAGATGATAGATACCCAAAACCAAGATTATTCGCTCTGTTAAAAGCTATTTTTCAGCTAAAGATATCAAGTATTATTTGTGCAGAAACTGCATCAACAAAGGTTGATAACTGAAAGACAGTTGTAAATTCCAGTTTTATTGTTTCTTTCTCAGTCTAATTATACAGCACTGCTCTGGAATACAATAAAAAACCTGTAAAAAACTTTTTAAAGTTATATAAGGTTGTATAAAAGATTTTTTTTTTTTTGCATTAAAGTACATACTCTAAATTGAAGAATCTTTTTTTTTTGTGGCAATTTTATCTTTGTTTTTATAGAATTTTTTAGTTAATGACAGAAAAATATCAACATTTTAAAAAGAACATTTTTTTTTTTTTTGGTTATTGGCACAATTGTTCAATAACAGTTTTGTTAGAATACAATAAAAACCTTCATAAAACTTTTTAAAGTTAGGCATTATGACAGTATTGAAACTGGTGTTTTTGTTGATAGCCAATTATGTTCAACAATAAAGCAAAGATTGTTCTTTTTTTCTTCTATTTTCTTATGCTCAATCTACATCAATAGTAGAAGTTTGCAAAAGAGAAAAAAACTGAAAGAAGAAACGGTAAAATAGTTTAAAAAGAAGTAAACAAGGAAGTCAATACCACCAAATTTAACTAAAAATCTAAAGCCAATTTTTTCTTTTAGATTATGCAACAGTATTTTGCAGTACTATTTTTATCAAAAAAGATTTGTTTAGATAATTTTTGTACATTTTTTGATTAGACGTAACATTAACAAATTCAATTAATTTGTGGCTTAATGCAGTTAACCTAATTGCAGATTTCATGTGACGATAAAGTTTACAACAAAGATTTAGACGAATACTGTCGGTTTGAGTTCTGTTTACTAGTAATACAAACTGTTATTTTTGGGTTAACAAATCAATTGATTTGTTTTCTGATCTGACCAATTTTGTCAATGAATATTGCTGAGAAAAAAAAAAATAGAAAAAGAAGAGACATAACAAAAGCAAAATTATAATTATATTTGTCAATTTTAAATTTATTGTTACAAAAACTAAAAAGTGTATATATATATACAAAATAAAGAATTATTTTTTGCTATTTTTTAAACACTGCTGTTATGTGATATGCAAAAAATTTATATGATAAAAAAAATTTTTTTTTCACTTTTCTTATTTGCCAAAATGAATCAACATTAGACTAAATGCTGAAAAAGACAATATTAGTTGATGACATCAATCATCAACAGAAAATTGATGTTTTAATTTGATGCATGCGACAGTTTCAACTTAACTGAATGTTGAAAATTTTCAATTGTTTTGCTTTGCCATCATTAGAACTGCATTTTTGTTTCACATCTTTACATTTTAGAAGGCTTAGGCAACAAAAATTTCTCGAACTTTCCAAAATCTGATCTATTTTAAAGTAAACTGTTCAATGCAACTGCAACAACGCGTTTCAGTTATGTTATTTTACCCCACATCACATCTGCAACACTTCAGACAGTAAGACCAAAGAAGTCATGTAAAATAATAATCTTTGTCTTCTTAATAACTGTATTAATGCCTTGGTATTCTCCTAAAAAA